TACATTGTTAGAACTGTAATCTGGCTCCCGCTATATCCTTGAAGTAAAAGATAATTGCAAAGGGCTACTAAGAAGTCGGCTTCGTGAGGGTTAGAGTAACTTTGTAGACCGTCTACGTGGGCCTCGACCTCACAATGATCAATAAAGAACAGATTGTGAGTTAGGCCAGATATGTCTTTGAATTCGCACACCGTTTCGTGGTCAACAATTTCGTGATCGTAGATTCGTTTAGTCAGTGACGCAATTTCTGGCCGCATTCGATGCTGTATGGACAAGCGTTTGCAATCCATACTGTTCATTACCATTCTCTCGAACAGCGAAATCGACAGGTTGTATTTTAAGGCTAACTCATACACTGTTGCTTTTGGACGGAGTTGCTTGTGGTCTCCGATTAGAATGGTATGCTTTGTATCTTGTGCAAGAGAAGTGATGATGTGAGCTTCCATAACCTCAGCTGCTTCTTCGATTACAACAACTCTGGGGGCTACTCTCTGAAGCATTGAGTGGTATCGCGCTGCACCACTGGTCGTCATGCCAACAACAGTTGCGCGACGTATAACCTCTTCTTCTTCTTCAAATCTGACTGCCTCTTGTTCTTGACAAAGTTGGTCATACTCCTGTTCACCTCTTTGAATCTCTGCTCTGAAGCGTTCACGGTAGCTCTCTACCCAAAAAAGGTACAACCGACGTCGATCCAAAGGTGATAAAAGCCAAATGTTTTCAACGCACATTGCTTCATCAGTGGGCATCGCAACTGTTTCTTCCAGATCAGGCTTCAAAGATTTGATATCTGCTGTTATTTTTATTTTGTTTTTCTTGCTCTTTGAAGATTTTGTTTGAGCAGTACTCATTTCATGTCTCATCTGTTGTTTGCTACTCTCATCAGTTGTTTGCTGCCATGGAAATTTTCCTCGCCTCTTCTTGTAGGGTACAGTTTGCCATCCCTCGTCTTGGTCCCCTTGATCTTGATTCTGACAACTTAAGTCATCTGACTGTTTCGACATAACTGGCAGGAAATCTTCATCTCCGTGTATGCATCTTTGATATTGTATCAAATCAGCGTCCCTTTCTACGTCGATGGTACCTTCATTACTGTCGTCTTTCAAGCTTTGAGGTTCCTCAATCCGTTTGATGTCTTGGATTTCATCTACTTGCTTTAAAGTTTTCTTTTTCTTTTTCCTTGAAGATTTTGTTTGATCAGTACTTTTTTCCTTTGGATCATTATGAACGGGGGCGCTTTCCATTCCGTATTTGGAATTCTCATCTGTTGTTTGTTGCCATGGAAATTTTCCTCGCCTCTTCTTGCAGGGTACAGCTTGCCATACCTCGTCTTGGTCTCCTTGGTCTTGATTCTGACAACTTAAGTCATCTGACTGGTTCGACATAACTGGCAGGAAATCTTCATCTCCGTGTATGCATCTTTGATATTGTATCAAATCAGCGTCCCTTTCTACTTCGATGGTACCTTCATTACTGTCGTCTTTCAAGCTTTGAGGTTCCTCAATCCGTTTGATGTCTTGGATTTCATCTACTTGCTTTAAAGTTTGAGAAACTGGGCAATGTTTTACGTGAGAACTGGCTTCAGACACCAATGATGCTGCCACCTCGCTACTTTGTTGAGCTGAGAAGTCGTTTGGTCTGGTGCTGTGAACAGAGGTTTTTTTGAGATCTTCCTGAGATGTAGGTGCTGGCGGATTCCTGCCTTTGCCTTCAACATTGCGTAGATCAACGTGTCCACCTTGCCTTGTTCTCGCCTGTTTCAAGGGGTCCAATCGCTTGTCGTTACATAGCCAGAGTTTGAAAGTGTTACCGGGCGTTCGACACTCGTTTTCTGCGTTGGGAGGAAATACCGCATTGTACAGTTGTTCTACATGTTCAGAATTAAGCAGGTTTTCCAAATTGTCGAATTCCAAAAGCTTTGTCTCAGCTTTGGAAAGTGAATCCTTCCAGCCAGTTAATTCTGAGACTTTGCTTTGTATCATATCTCTGATTTCTCTTCGTCTTTCATGCATCCTGTGCTCGTCAGTAAATAGTTTCAGATTACACTTTTCCAGTTGCGGACTTTTGCATCTTCCTCCAACACGTATGATCTGCTCTTTGGGAAGAAATTCTAATACTTTTTCCAAGAACTGATCCAGAGCGTGGTTTGTGTAACAGACCATAAGCATTGGCGAGAGTTTATCAGGGTCCCAGGCTGCTCGATTCTCAAGTAAGCATCGAACGATTCTGGCTCCAACATACGTCTTCCCTGTTCCTGGTGGTCCCTGGATGACAGAAAACTCAGTTGTAACTGCTGTTTTTAACGCTTCAAACTGGGAGCTGTTAAGTGGAAGGATCTCAACAGAGGGCCAGGCTCTGGGCTGCAGGACAGGTACCCTACTTGCGTTCGTTTCATCTGGAACATCCAATGCCAACCTAAGATCATAGCACACTGGTTCTTGAGAATCCTCGCGCCTCAGATACTCGGGTGGATCGACATCTTCACTGCATTGAACCAGATATTTCTTGAATGGCATGGTAGTTTCATCCAATTCCTTCAGTCCTTTCAGGACATGACGATAAGCTTCATAGTAAGCAGGCGACTCAACCACTTGATACTCACATGTACGGTTTTCCACCCCCAATACATCTTGGTCCTCGATGAATCGAATCTCAATCCTACCTTCTGCCATTTCCTCTGGATCTCGGTTGGAAACTGTTGCAAAAAGCATTGTCTCAAAGTTGTTATTTGAAAGACAAAGGAATGAACCAAACAGAAGTCGTTTGGAATTTGCCCATCTTTTGGTATCGAACCTGGAAACATCAAATTGTACTTGATAAATGATTCCGGACTTCGTGAATTTTTTGTCGACAATACGTGCTCCTTGGTACTGTTTCATTAACTGATTGCGCTGTTTTCTTGGTACGTTGTGGACAATTTCGTGGATGCCTTCCCTGAGTGGCTCAAGAAAATCCTCTCTAAGCAACCGAAACTGTACATCAAGGTAGTGCTCGGCATCTTCATATCTTCCCTTTAAAATATTCTTCCGTAGAAAGGGCCGTGCATGAGATGTGATTTCTTTGTTTGTGGGACAAATCGGTATGTCTCTAAAATCGTTTGGAGGTTTTTGCCCAGCCTTGTCGATGTAACGTTTGCCATGCTTCTGCCTTTCAGCTATAATGAGGTCATCTCTGGTTTGTTTTAAAGCTTCTAACTCTCTCTGTAGATCATCTTTTTCATCAATACTTGACTGGTCCAAAAATTGTTTCAACTGAGAGTAAGGCAGGTCGGCATATGAGCTTGGTAAGTGCCTCAAATACCTCGTGAATACTTTGATCAAGCTTTGAATGAATCTTCTTTGAGATTCTTGTTCATTCAAAACCGTTGACACTTCCAGACGATCAAGCACACGAGGAATCTTTGAACTCAAGAATACTGAGCCTTTAAGCGCGGCTAGAATTGTGTTTGTGTTCTCGTGCAGTGGCGCACTACAGGCAATTGCTAGTATACACGTGAGGTCGAAGATGAAATCATCGCTGTTATGCTCCTCCTGCAGTGATCGTAGAAAGAACTTAAAGCGAGCCATACTTTCATTTAACCTGCAGACTACATCACGAGGATTCATCTCTTTTAACGTTTTCAGGTCTAGGACACATTTTGCAGGGAAAACTCTACGAACAGGAGGGGGCTGTGTTTTGTCCTGTGGTGGTGAATGGGTATCAGCATTCATTGCAAAAGGCCTTCCTGGACGTTGTTCTTGGTTTCCATCTGTATTATAAGACAATATGCATTCGTAAGTAAATATACCATTTCTGTTCTTGTAGTGGTACAAACAGCTGTTTGGTTAAAGGATAAGTAACCTGTTTCGGTCAGACCTTAATCTCCAAGAATGTATTGATTCAGTACTAATCATTCTGAGAAATTGTCAAGCAATACGATTTACCTAACTTGAAAAACCTCGGTTTATTCTCGAGTATTCGACTAAAGCAAAAAAACTAAAACATTTCGACAGGAGCGTTTCGACTATTTCTTGCACTCACATGACGGTTTTCCTTTTCCAGGCGACGACGACCCTTGACCTTTGTCGCTTTCCCGTGATGCTCCTCTCCCGCCTCCTCCACGAGCTTGCTTCTTCTCTTGGTCCAATTTTTCATCTTAAATAAACGACAAATTGTTATAACTTGAATACATTACAAGTCTAAATACCATTAGTAATTCAGTCACTTAATATTGGTAATAATTTGATTGATGGGTGTTTTGAAGGTTAGAGCGGGTGCGCATTTGTTCAAATGCAGTAGTTTTAAATGGCTGGGGTAATGTATCGACTTGACGTGGTGTGGGGACAGAAAACCAAATTGACTCTAAAAGACTCTAAAAGACTCGATTCCATAGAGTGTAATATCTAATATGTTTTACAAACACGTTTCGGTAGATGCTTGTGCCATCTTCAGTGTGAAACAAGTTTGTAAAACTTTAGAGTGTCGAGTTTTAACATGTATTTCATCATTCCTTTTATTCAGACCATTTGGAAATATCTGATATCCAAGGTATTTATCGCATACAGAGCCATTTTTTTAAAGGAGTTTTTTGCACCTACCTTGAGCTTTGCCTTCTGCACCTTGTGACGCTGGGAACTGACCTTCCGCGGCTGTTGTCTTTCGTGTGCCTCCTCCGTTTGCTTCCTTTTTAGCCTCAGGCTCTGTAAACATTGATTGCGTTTTCACTCTTACAAAATAGACATAACTTCACTCCATGTAAGGGTTGTTTGAGCATTTTCAAAAAAATCGTCTCATCAAAAACAGAGGGGGTTTGACGGTGTTTTATATGTATAGTAAAATTTCTGTTTTCGTCACAAGTGTAATGTATTTTATCGAAGCATTCGCTAGATTGACAATTTATTTATTTCGCTTTTTAGCACAGTTCTAACACTATTTTTGTTAACAATGGCCTATATGCAGCTACGTTTATTGCAGACAAATAGCTCGTTGCCGTTTCGTTTGTCTGCGTCATAGCGGATGTTTAATTTGGGTCATATTTGTCAAAATACAGGAGCAAACAAGCTACTTTTTCATCATTATCGATAAGACCATCAACAAAACCCGTCAAAAATTATGTTCAGGGCAACTGTGTCAGCCGCAATGGTCATAAATAGGGTATCGAATTTTTGGTTTCGTCGTGAATAAGGTAGGGAAAATCGCAGATTTTCGTCATAAATAGGGTAGGGGTTTTGGAAAGCGGGCCGCACACCCCCACCAAATTTTTTTGGGAGTACCCCCCTGGGCTTACCGTGCATCTGTACTCCGATAAAGCACGCTGTTTCAACCAATCTGAGCAGTCGTTAAAGCGGTTTTCAATTGAGTATCGAAAGTAATCAGCCAGTAACTGATTTTTCATCCGCTGTTATCAAACTGACCCTTTTTACTGAAATCTGGCGCAATTGTCTAAAAAAAAACTCAGTTGCAGCAAGCCAATACAACTTGATTCGATCTGCATTGAACACATACCTGGACTAGTCTCTTCTCTTCCATGACCTCGTTTCTGATATCGGCCTTTTCTTCCTAATTCGCGCTGCTTTCCTTTCAGCCGGCCTCTGTGGTCTCGCCTGGCTTCCTTAGTATTGTCATCTTGAATGAAGAACAAACATGCTCATTAGAACTCTGTTGACAGCTGTCTTATATACGTATTGAAAAACCAAAGCAAACTAAGCAATTGTAAGCCAAAAATCCTCTTTCCTTCCCTATTTCGCCCAAGTTTCTATCAAAGATAAAGGCAGCTATCGTGAGTAAACTTGCTTCCACCGCATTGAAAACGGGTTATTTTTCAACATTGGCGCTAGAGAAAAGCGTTGACTTCTTTTACAACTTTACTTGGCATTTGAATCCGATTAAGGCTGAAGAAGAATGTAATCAATATTCTCTGATTAAGAAACAGTTAGGCTATACTAAACGTTCTCCCACAATTTCATCAATCAGTACCTGGTATTTCATCAGCAGTTGTTCCACATGCACCTCCTTTCATTTCAGCTCCTTCTGTTCCTGTTGATGTATTCCCTTGTGCTTCTCCATTTTGTTCCGATGTTTCTTCGGACTCTAAAATGTCAATCTAAAATGTTAATTATGCTGAGCTATCTTATGCCAAAACATTTTCTTTTCATTGGCGGATAATTTGAATCAATAGTATAGTTCATTAGTAAGTTGTGTTAGTAAGTAATGTTAGTATTTGTTCGTAGCCGTAGTATTGTGTGTTGATTTTAGCAGATTTGGCCATTTTGGTCATAAATAGTATATGGTTTTTGCACCCTAGCCTTGACATGGGTATGTTTTTAAGAAGAAGCCACTTTTTCACCATTATCGAAAAGAAAATCAACAAAAGCCCTTCACAAATTACGTTTACGGTAATTTAACATGGTCTGAACTAGGGAACTTGTTATAACGCAGGTCTGAAACAGGGTTTTGATTTAAGGGTCAGGTCATAAATAGGGTTTATTAGGTAGAGAATATCGCAGATTTTGGTCATAAATAGGGTAAGGATTTTTGGGACGCGGGCCGCACACCCCCACCCAATTTTTCCCGGGAGCCGTAGCTCGTAAGTAGTGTCCATTTTGTTTGGTATTGTAAGTAGCTGTAGTATTGTAAGTAGTGTAAGTACCCTAATAAAAATATATTTAACGAAAAAAAAGTATTGCTCAAAACATATATCACTTATTTCGCAGCTGCTCAAGTTGTGTATATAACTACGATGATCAATCATGTCTCATATATCACTGCCATAAAACATTTTATCTTTTCAGTTCGGAGATCGCGTGTAACAGTGTATAGACCATCGAAATTCCCTTCCCCCTCAAGACTTGCGGGCGAAATCGATTTACCTTCGTGCAATATCAAATCACATAGCGTAATTAAGGTTGTTTTCTGAAGCCATGGCTCATGGTTAGTGCGCTCGTCTCCGGATCGAGTGGTTCGGGTTCGAGGCCTGACCGGGGGGCATTTTGTTGTGTTCTTGGGCACAGCGCCTCTCCCTCCACCCAGGTGTATAAATGGGTACCGGCGAACTTAATGGCAGGGGCATAGACTAGCATCCCATCCAGGAAGGAGTATAAATACTCCTAGTCGCTTCATGCTACGGAAACCGGGATAAGCTCCGGCCTGATGGACCTCTTGGCTTATCTGCAGACTTTTTTAAAGTGTTTGTGTCAATACTAACTTCTTGAGCCTCGAGCACACTACGCCGGAGACATTTGAAAACGGCGTTTTGACTCTAAAAGGGCATCAAATGTTTTCCATTCTCACTAGAAAACGGATAAAATGTTTTCCGTCCACACAACGCCGGACAAATTTGAAAACGCAACAATCACCCGCGGTAGAAACGTTGACAACCTTGAGCATGAATCCACGCTGGCTACGTGCTTGTTGTTCCTGCCATTATCGTGACGTCATCGTTTTCGGCGGAACATTTCGCAGGATTAGTGTGGACGATAAGCCTAACCGTAGAAAAAAAGCTGCGTTTTCAAATCTACCTGGCGTAGTACGGACTCCCTTAATCATGAAATTTCAAAATACTGATAATTTATGGCTTAGAGCGGTTTTCAATTGAGTGTCGAAAGTAATTAGACAATTACTTTGGTTTTGGTTTTGGTTTCACTACGATTTGAGATTGGCTGAGTAGTCTAATTGGTATGTAATTGCTTTGGTTTTGGTTTTACGACACTCAATTGAAAACCGCTCTTTAAAATATCAATTTCAATTTCATGAAGCGTTCAACCTTTTTTCACAGCTAGCCGAATGAGCTGATGTGAAAAGTGTCTATTTCCAAGGTGAGTGATTGTTTTTTCTCATTTCTCTGAATGTCCTATCTATATGTTAATCCAAACTAGAGAGCCTCCTATCTTGATAAAAATGAGATAAAACTGAATTAAATTACATCTTTTCATATTCTTATAAAACATTTTTACCACGATAAAAGGCAACTTATCGCTGTATTATGGCTGGGACCTGCTCGCCCGCGATTTTTACAACGGGGGTGCTTTCCATTATGCCAAAGATTCCGAAAAATTTCGGTCGGAATTCAAATGGAAAGGTCCGTTTCGGTTTCTTCTGACCGGAATATTCGGGATCACCTCTGGAGGTGGTCCACTTATTTTGGTCGGAATATTCCGACCGAAATTCGTCGTTTCATTTTTGACAAACCGGTTCTTTGTCCTCATCAGGGAATTTGGAAAGGAATAGAAAGTGGTAAGAGCCATTCCTATTGGTTGGCCCGGTTCAATCGGAAAATGTCGTTCCATTTTCCACGGGTATTCCCACTGATCTCTGACCGGTCGGTATGACATAATAGAGAGCACCCCAGGAACGTCAGAACCAGTTAAGTTCACTACAGCCTCGACTAACTACTATTCCGACTTGAGTGAATTTTAGCTCTGGTCATAACCCATACTTAGTACATTACAGGGTCTTACAGAGGTCTGGCCAATTTCACAGAGAATAGAGGTTATTTTATACTTGGAAGTGTGAAATGCTCTTTACTTAGCTCTTATTAACCGAGCATGGGGTCTCTATGGGAGAATCTTGACCGAGGTCGTGAGTACAGACCGAACGCAGTGAGGTCTGTACACACGACCGAGGTCAAGATTATCACATACAGACCGACTAAGCTCGGTTAATAAGATGTTTGTTATATGGCAAACAAGAACAATTTTAAAATTCGTTTAAAGCAGCTCGTTTGTACAAACTGATATTTTGCTTGCGAACGGCGATGAGCTGAATTTAATTCTGCGGAAGTTTGCTCGTCCTCTTTACTTTTTTCTCATCAGGCTTTTTGGCACTTCCATAAATAAATATTGTTGGATGAATGGTCAATGATTTTGCATTTTAGTTTTTGCAACTTTTTCACTGAAAAAAATTACCGGTCTAGATGCCGGTCTAGATGGGAAATCTAGACCGCTTTCAACATCGATTTCAGCCAATCAAATTCGTGAATTTGGTAGTTCCCAGTCCTTGCGAGACAGCCATATAATAATGTTTCTAACAAGCGTTTACCTATGGCCTCGTCCCCAGGTCTGTCTTGCTTGTTTTGTTTGTCGAATTTGCCCCGCCATTTCGCTTTCTTCGACTTAGCCATGGTGCTGAAAAGAGAAATGCAATAGCAGAGATGAATCCCACCGTTTTAAAGATAAAAGTTCATTTAACTTAAACCATTCATTTCATGGAGGTTTATGTGTGAATTTTAAAATGAAAGCAAAGTGAGTGGAAAAGGTTCCTTGAGTTATTTACAGATTGAAATAGTTTCACTGACTTGATAAAGGCAGACGTTTCGGCAAATATGAATTAAAATTCTTTGACTGTGTATTTTTAAAAATGTGTGTAGTGGGAACACATCTAGTGATTCAAAATGTGTACTAAACTACCTAAACTACATCTTTAGATCTCTATACGCATCAGAAACCCGTGCCATGTAGTTTTCATTATGCGCGTGCTGAAGTGTCATTCAAGAAACCCTGAAGAAA